AAAACAAACTCATTTACATAAGTAAATTTAATTTTACATCCATTTGGCGATTTATAGCTGCTACTTTTCTTTTCATTTCAAATTTAAGAGTTTAACAAATTAAAGAAATGCCGTTATATTCGTATTTGTAATGGCGATACAGATCTTTGACTCAACATCGCCAAGGTCTATAATATATGTACATATATAATTGATTCAGAGCTGCCCACTGTAACCGCAATTAATTATAAAACTTTCTGAAACAAAATTGTTTCGTGAAATGTGAAAATCGCTTGGAGAGAGTGTGTGTTTTCCTATATATATATTATATATACCCATATGTTATAAGTTTGTAACTGTGTTTATTTCGTAATGACATTGTCGTAACAAAATTTTCGTAGCTTTTTGCACAATTTTTGGTGTTTGTGTTTTGTGATAAAAATGCAATCAGAAAGTGCTAACGGTCGATCAAGAGATATGCTTAATTGATTGATATGAAACGATCAACAAAGCAAAGCCAAAAAAAGAAAAAACAACAACAATATTTTGTGTTTTTTAGCCCCGCAGCGACAAAATTCGGCGATACATTAACTGTACATTAATTTTGTTGGAAACTTCATTCATTTGCATAGCGGGAGAGAGAGAGAGAGAGGGAGCGAGACTGAGAGAGTGAGAGAGAGAGAGATATTATTATTGCCAACACTCGTAGTCGATCATTAAAGGTTGTTTGGCAAATTAGAAACTAGCCGCCACTTATTGACAGGGATGGCAAAAGCAGAAGAAGAAGAAGAAGAAGATGATGATGATGACAACGACGACGACGAGAAGAAATAAAAATTTAGCTGAATTCCGCGCTGCACTGTGGCAGCCAGAAACCGAAACAGAAACAGAAACCGAAACAGGAAATGAGCCCCCAGACAGTTTGAGTGGAGTTTTTCTTTTAAGTACCTTTCGTTCGCTTGGTCAATGCAGCGAGCCTCTTCTTGTCATTTATTATATATGCGTATTTTTTTTTTTTAATTTTTCTTCTACTCTACCTTTTTTTATCAGTCTTGGGTTTCTATTTTGCTGTGAAGCGATTGGAAATGGGTGTTTTCGAGGTATAATGGTTGAGTAAAAGTATTTGTAATTGCCAAATAGAGGTTTATCTAAAGCTAAAGATTATATATATTATTACTATTATATATTTAATTTTACTAATGAATGATCTCAAAATATTGGGGCTAGCTGATGGAATCGGGCTTACATCTATCTATCTATCCTTTTATATATACAAATACTTTTATGAATATATATTAAATGTATGTGGGTAAGGGGGGGGGGGGGGGGGAAT